AAGGAAGCCTTGGAGATGTCAGTCGCTGTCAGACTCCAGCCGTCTGAGATCCTGAATAAGAGCCACCTTGCTGAGCCCAGTCAACCCCTAGAACCATATACAGATATGACTGTGCTTATGCTACTGAGTTTGGGGGTAATTCGTTATGTATCAATAAATAACTGGAGCACATGGTCACCCCTCCCCTTGCCAGATGGTGGTTTAGGAATGGGCATGTGACCCAGTTTGGGCCAAATAACACAGGAGGTAGAGTCTTCCGGGAAAGTTGTCTTTGTTCCTAAGGAAGCCAGTCCTCCTCTTCCTCCTGCGTCTTGATATGACACTTGATCTGCCCTCTTGCTACCAACCTGAGGATAAAGTCAACCTCAAGGATGGCACAGGAGATGGAAGGAACTTGGTCCTTGAGGGCATCACTGAGATACTGAGTTAATCAGTCTTCAGACCCACACTGACTCCTGGCCTTCTGATGTGACAGTAATACTTATGGTCTCGGCCAGCTGAGTCAAACTGTCACTTGCTGTTAGAACTGTCCTGTCCACCGCACCGTGTAAGCCAGAAGCCGCTCGCGACCAGCTCTGAAAAGGGAGGATCTCAAAGTCAGGGTCAATGGGCAATGGCGTGTCGGCTGTTCCCCAAAACTGCTCCTGCTGCTGGTAAGGAGAGAGTTGGGGGGAAGTCCCTCCTAGGCCATGAGCAGGTTGAGGCATTGGGAGGGTAAAGCCAAGACTATAGGACAAGTCAGCTAAGCTTGGGTCATAGAATTGGTGACTTTGAGCCAGCACTCAGCCCCGTCACTGTGTCTTCTCCACCAAGCACCACCAGAATCCCCATGTAAGTTCTCATGCAGGCTCACTCCTTCCCAGGTAAGGAGGCCTGAGAGGCTGCCCATTTTGTAGATGGAGAAACTGAGGCTTGAAGTGTGCCGTGGGCTTGTCCAGAGAGAGTGGCTCCAACGTCTGTTCTCTTGCCTGCGGGAAGGCTGGGTTGGAACACGGCAAAGGAAGCTGCAGGTCATATCCCTGAACCCTCGGCCCACCGGGGTGACTGGCCAGCCCCTTACTTGCTGGTCTGAGGATGAGGTTGAGTCCTTCGCATCAATTCTAGGATGAGCTTTTCAGTCACTTCTCTAAGTCGACTCCCACCTGGAAACTCTCATCTTCCAACATACAGTCATGTCTTGGGTACCTTTCAGCTGGGAAGCATCTTTTCTGCACTATGTTGAGCGTGAATGGGGTGCCTCTTGACCTTGAACCTGATCTTGAACCTCTGGAGTTGGCTGAACGAGGGCCTCACTCCCCATAATGCTGGCAGGCGAGCGGACACTGGCTGGAGAGGCCTCTTCCCTCTTATGCCCTTGCTCAGAGGACAGAGGAAAGAACGAGACCCCTCCCTTCTCCCCCTCTGCTACTCTGGGCGCCTGCCATTTGCATTCGATCTTGTTCTTTCTTTTTTTTTGTTTTTTTGTTTTTGTTGTTCAGGTAGAGTGGGAGGGAGAGAGAGGAACAGAGAGAGAGAGAGAAACATCGATGCGAAAGGAACACATCGAGCGGCTGCCACCCGCACAACCGACCAGTGCCGGGGACAAACTGCAACCGAGGTACGCGCCCCCAGCGGGAACCGAACCCGGGTCTCTCAGGACCGCAGGCCGACGCTCTAACCGCTGAGCCAAACCGGCCAGGGCTCTTGTTCTTTCTTGAGGTCCCCCAAGCATCTGGTCTTTTATCTAAATTCCATATTCTTTGGGTTGTTGTCTAGGTGTTCTGGGCAGGAGACAGGGGCCGGGGGTGTCCATCACTTGAGCCTGGTTGGGTTTTGCCTGTAAAGCCAACAGCCGCTAGAGTTGGAGACAGAGCCTGAGGACAGAGACTGGAGATGATTTTATCCAACCTCCTCATTGTATGAATGAAAAAGTTAGGTCCCAAGTCCTGGAGGGGCTACGACCTGGTGCACTTCTCCTACCCCAGGGGGAGTGTCAAGCCTGCAGGTGGCGGCTGCTACGCCTCACCACGACCGAGCCCACCCTGGCAGCTGAGGCTGGGTCCTGGCCTGTCCGGCTTCAGCACGCATGGGTGAGCTGTCTCCCTCAGCCCCACACGCTGCACCAGCCCTGCATTCGGCAGAATCCACTTGCTCATCCACTTCTGCATCCACTCAGCACGTGGAGTGTTTGTGTTCCAGAAGCTAATTAACTTCCTCAGGGTTGTATTAACATTCGAGAGTGTGTTCACTGAGTGTGGGATAAAAGTCAAGCCGGGAGAATTGCAAGTAGGCTCTGTGTGCTCTAGCAGATGCCCTCAGCTAGAGGGGCCGCCTGGGAAAGCACAGAGCCCTGGGTGTGCACGGATGTGCTGACCCCCACACCCCCACCTCTGCACCAACCCTGCAACTCTTGAGGTGGAATGCCATTACCCCTGCCCTCTTCTGTCCTTTATCCATTTATGATGGTTTAATTTTATGTGTCACCTTGGCTGGGCCATAGTGCCCAGGTATGTGGTCAAACATTATTCTGGCTGTTTCTGTAAAGGTGTGTTTGGAATGGAATAGACATTTAAATCAGTGGACTTTGAATAAAACAGATTGCCCTCCATAAAGTGGTGGGCCTCGCCTGATCAGTTGAAGGCCCGACTAGACCAAAGACTGACCTCCCCTGAGCAAACAGGAAACCTGCCAGCAGGTGGCCTTCAGACTTGAACTGGAACTCCTCCCCGAGTCTCTAGTCCACTGGCCTTCCACACCAGACTTGGGACTTGCACTTTTATGTAGGTAGAAAGGAAAGTTGCCCAAACATTAAGGAGAGGCTCTCCCAATGTGCTCCTTTGGAATACCACCTGGAAACCAGTGACACGTGGATCTGCCTGTAACTCCTCCCCTCATCCCTGCGCACAGCTCGGACAACAGACCACCCCTGTGAAGGCCACCTGGTGGGGTCGGGGGCTGAGGCATCACCCACTCACCCCTGAGGCAAGAAGGATGGTGGGGGGTTCCAGGCGGGGGGCGACCAATGTCCCTGTGGCTGGTAACCCCGAGTGATTTTATTCCAAAATTCATCAGACTTTGGTGTATGAATCTCCCCCTCCTATTTTTTGAGGGTAAAAAAAAAAAAAAAAAGAGCTCATTAATGTATTTTTTAAGTGATTGAGGAAACAAAAGACTGGGAAGTGCATTGGGGAAGGGACCCTAATTCATGATTTCTGAGTTGAGTTTCTATACTTCAGTGTCTGGTGAAAAACTTTCGATTGGGGAGAGGCAGCAAATAGAGTCCAGAACTGAGGTTAATTTCCAGGTGGGTAGTTGCACAGTTACCGATATGCCCACATATCCCCACGAGGGAGCCAGTGACCCAGACCTGTTCTTAAGATCAGCGTGAACTGCACGTTCTCAGGGTCAGACCTGCTTGACTTGGCAGCTCAGCATCCAGGCCAGGAAAGGCCCGTCCTAACGACGTCACAGTCGACAATCCGCCGCGTCGCGGAGCGGCTTGTTTTCCCATGTGCATAAACATAAGCCTGGCGTGGTGACAGAGAAAGTGCTTTGGGGAGAGAAAGTGTGTCCTACGAGCTAGTGCCAGGGACAGAAGCTGGAGTAGAGCATATCCACACACTTCTCCTGCTTGGAAAGCTTCCCAGTGGTCTCCAAGGACACTCACCTGTTCCTCTGCTGCAGGGAGCGCGGTTCCCGTATTTCCCTGTCAACAGTAACCGAAGACTACGACAGTCATCACAGGTGCCAACGGAGGGAGGGCTGGGCTTTACCATTGCTACTGGTGTGTAGGTGCGGGTTGGAAATCACACGTGAGGGCCACCTGGAGCTTTCTACAGGAAGCTGAATGATTACATTGGGGGGCGGTGTCCTTATACAGAGGGGATTTGGACACCAGGAATGTGTACACGCACAGGGAAAAGACCGTGGTCGCGAAGATGGCCAGCATCAAGCCAAGGGGGGGCCTCAGACAAAACCCAATCTGCTGACCCCTTGACCTTGGGCTCTTGGCCTCCGGAACTATGAAAAAAGAACAGTCTGTTGTTTAGGCCACCCCGTCCGTGGCATTGTCTTACGGCAGCCGAGCAGAAACCGTCTGGAAGGCTGTACACGCCACAGGTGCGCTTTTCCGTCCACCTTTCCAGAGCCGCGTAGCTCCCGGGGGCTTTGTGCCCCAGAACCTAACGTTATCTTGAAGAGCAAGAGAGAGAGGACAGAGGCGAAACCAGCAGAGAGCCGTTGTTGTTCTGCTAGTGAAAACCTCAAATCCAAAACCGCACGAGGGGAGGCCCCTGGAGAACGGAGGGGGTGACACCCTGCAGAGGTCCTTCCACTGTTTGCCGCCTGTGGACCCCACGGAAAAGGCTTCCCACACCCCCGCTCAGGTTTCCTACCAGGACAGCAGGCACCACCCTGTCCCATCCTCTGGGGGCATCTATTTGCCTACACATGTCCCACGCCCAGCAAGCAGATGCGGCCCTATGTGAGGATCAGATTGGCAACCCCGGCACTGTGCACGGGCACCCTCGGGGGAGCCGCCAGGTCACCCGCTCTGGCTTGTTGAGACTCAAAATGCACCAGGTGTCAGCAAATCCAGCCCCAAACCCACGGAGGCTCTTTGAAAGCTGCCTTCTGCTTCGGTGGTATAGACATCTGCCCACAAGATTAGATTCTAGGGCCTTGGACCAGAAATATGGCCATGTGAGCACGTAGTGTCCCCAGGGCCTGAGACACTGCCTGGAAATGTCAGCTGGGACCAGCAAAACGCTGACATTCTCAGACCAGAGTCACTGCCTTGGGTTAAGGCATTAAAGACCCCTGTTAAATATGTTATGAAGGGGCCATGGTATTAAGACATCATCAGCCATTAACGCCTTTTTGTGACTTCATCAGAGTGGCCTCAGGGTGCCCCTGGCCCCTGGGGGACCAAGGTGGGGCAGCTGAGTTCTGGTGGGAGGAGGGGAGAGAGTCACAGCGGGAGGGGCAGAGTGGGGGTGGGGAGCACAGAGGGGTGTGTTGTATGGACGAATATGGGTGATAAAAGAACAAAAGATTTCACAGGGAACACTGCCTGACAGTGTGGAACCAGCCGGACCCCCCTACAAGCCACCTTTCGTCCGATGGTCCAGACCACGAACGTGAGGCCCAGGCCAGTTGGCAAGTACACAAGTCCAGCTGGGTCTGTGGAAGGGACTTGGCATCTCAGAGCTGGCCTTGGCCTGCGGCCATGAAGTTGGGGTACAGGGATGAATACACAGTTGGGACACCCACCTGTCCCAGGAGAGGGGAGAGCTGCTGAAGTGATTGGCACTCAAGAGGTGGGGCTAACCCATGCTCTCAGCCAATCCGCTTGCCCGCTGGCTCCAGACTCCTGACACCACGGTGGGGCAGTTATAGATGCTGTGGGGGAGGCAGGGAGACAGGGGTCAGGTGACAGCTAAGCGTGGGGGCAGCCCGCCTGCCAGCCACAGGCCTGGGCTCTCAGGCCAGCGGGGGCGCACGGGAGAGGCTGCCTGGCTGTCCACGGTCCTGGGAGGGAGGCCGCGAGGCTCAGCAGGGGGAGGACGACATCTGGTCATAGTCGGGGCACTTGAGCAAGGCTGGGTAGTTGCTGTTCATCTGCAGGGAGGCATCGCTGGAGATGTCCGAGGGGCTGCGGCCCCGGGTCCAGGCGTCGGGGTGGAGGAACTGGCCTGAGTAATCTGAGCAGCTGCTCAGGCGCGGGTGGTAGAAGCCGGGGTGAGGCCTGTACATGTCCTCAGCCGTGTACCTCTTCATGAACAGGTACACGGACATCACGCCCGCACTCTAAGAGGAGAGAGCAGAGGAGAGCTCACTGCCGGGGTTCTGCCTGGGACACAGCAATGACAGCAGCTGGGGTGGGGAGGGAAGGGGAGGCGGGGGCGGGAGCAGGGCCCTGGGACACCCTGGATGGAGCAGACACAGGAAGGTAAACCACTGATACATTCTGGGGACACAGGGCGGCCCCAGGATGTGTGTGGAGGGTCTTCCTCCTCCCACTCAGCCCGGCAGTGCCCCGCTCCCTACCAGCCTGCTGGCAGGGTTACCTCCGTTAACAGGAAGGAGATGGCAGCGAAGGCGAAGGACCACCCGTACTTGTAGCTGAAATAGGTCTCTGCGTCCTTGGTCCTGTTGAGCATCTCGTCGTTGATGCTGGAGATGTAGAGGACCAGGCCCACCACGAGAGAGAGGCCTGGGGGAGGCAGGAGTGCTCGGGGAAGAGGCCCGGGGTGTTTGCCGACGGGCACCCCGACTCCCCCTGGGGTCAGGAGGAAAGCCCGGCCTTGTGGTGACAACGCGCTCATTTGGGGGTTCAAGGAGGAGCTCTCCCGAAGCCCCCGCGAGACCATTGCCGTCTGGAAGCGGACGGTGCAGCTGCGAAGGCTCCCTGTCTCCGATTTGTTTGTTAGTTTATTTTGGGGTGGTGAACACACAATGCAATATACAGATGATGTATTGTAGAAGTGTGCCTCTGAAACCTGTATACTTTTATTAACCAGTGTCACCCCAATACATTCAATTAAAAAAGAAAGAAAGCAAGCTCCCCGTCCGGCCACCTCCTGAGCCGTGGTAAGCCCGACGGTGTTCACCGCACCCGCCCTCACCTGTCAGACATGCCTGACCTCACCCCGGACTTTCTGAGTCACCTGGGGGCTAGAGCCGGCTCAACAGCTCCCCAGGTGACACGAATGTGAGTGACGGGTGAGAACCACCGAGCTAGCAGGTGGCTTTTGCTGAACTGAGGAATAAGACAGACCCCCTGCAGAGGCAGCCGGACCTCCAGTCCCTGTCTCCCGAGGTGGGTGGTAACATCACTGGGGAGACCCGGTGTCTCACAGTCTGTGCAGCCCACCTGACCCGGGGCGTGGCTGTGGCGACTGTTAGGCAGACAGGTAAGGACAGCCTGTCCAGATTCTGGGGATCGTGACATCAGTGGTCCCACCCCCTGCTGCCACCGTGCAAACAACCGCCTCAGGCACCGGCGGCCAGGTAGTAACCGCGGTCGAATCAGGACATAACTAATTACTCCGATTTGAGCTGCCCAGGTTTAATTCCATTCACACGATTAAACCAGGGCATCTTGAAGGATGAATATCCAAGACAAAGCAATTCAATTCAAGACTTCCTTGGCACCCGTGTTTGAGTCATTGGACCCTGTCTGTCGCTATCGTTAAAACAACTCCACGGGGCCCAGTTCTAGCCGAGATTTCTGACCTGCAGCTACCGCTAAAGCATCCATCCCAGCGCCTCAACGCGACGGTCCCGCCTTGACTATGGCCAGGTCCATAGAGAGAGAAAGCGCTTAACCCTGGGTCCCTACTTCTTGGACGAGGTGCGTGATAAATACGTGTGGGATTGATGGATGGAAGGGTAGTTGAATGGATTCACAGGTGAAAGAATGGATGGATGGAAGATGGGTAGGCGGGTGGATTATGGAAGGAAAGATGAAGGGATGGGTAGAGGGATGGATGAATGGAAGGAGAAAGAAAGAAAAGCTGTTGGGCATCAGGCATTCTGGTTGCCATCTGTCTCCCACGCTGAACTGACAGGAGAATGTTGGGGAAAGGGAACCGAAGTGGCTCGGGGATCAGGTGGCGAGCAGCATGCCTGATGCCCCAAAGCTGTTCATCCTCTTCTCTGTGTGTCTGTCCGTCCGTCCATCCATCCATCCATTCGTCCGTCTGTCCATCCATCCATCCATCCATCCATCCGTCCATCTGTCCATCCATCCGTCTGTCCATCCAGGCATCTTCCCATCCATCCATCCATCCATCCATCCATCCATCCATCCATCCATCCATCCAGGCATCTTTCCATCCATCCATCCATCCATCCATCCATCCATCCATCCATCCATCCAGGCATCTTCCCATCCGTCCGTCCGTTCGTCCGTCCGTCCGTCCGTCCGTCCGCCCGTCCATCCATCCATCCACCCATCCAGGCATCTTCCCATCCATCCATCTATCCATCCATCCATCCATCCATCCGTCCATCCATCCATCCAGGCATCTTTCCATCCATCCATCCATCCATCCATCCATCCATCCATCCATCCGTCCATCCATCCATCCAGGCATCTTTCCATCCATCCGTCCATCCATCCATCCATCCATCCATCCATCCATCCATCCATCCGTCCATCCATCCATCCATCCATTATTAAGCCATCTTTCTACCAGGGCACTTAAAATATACGCCCTGAGAGTCACTCCTTTGGCTTGATGCCTTATTTTTTTTTTAAAAAAAGTTCTCACCTTAAAGGGTAGAAAAGGCCTACCATTTTTTTTAAACTACATTTTCTTCCCTTCACTTTATGCACTTCCTGTGAGTAATCTCATCCACATCCTTGGTTCCCTCTCCTACTCCTAGGCTGACAGCTCCCAAACCTGTCCACCGTCCAGGCACTTCCATGAGCCCCAGACCCTGCCCTCTGGCAGCCTCCTGGCACCTTGCAGTTGTTCCATGGGCACCCCAAACCCAGCACTTCCCACTCTACATGCGTGATCTCTGCCCCTTTCCCTGTGATCCCTAGACCAGCAATGCAATGCGCCATCCGTCCCGTGCCCGAGCAAGAACTTGCACCTACCCTGGACTCCTCCCTTGAGAGCCTAGCCCTGGTCCGGTTGAGTTTACCTACTAAGTGTCCCTTGAAACCTCTCATTTCTCTCTCCTCTGCTTGCATGCCCTCCCTCTGGGACACTAGCACCTCTCTCCTGTACTACTGAAGCCGCCCCTGCCCCCTTGCTTCCCTCCCTCCTCCACCCCGAGGGGTCATTCTAAATCCCAAACCCGGTCACGCCGTTCCGTGGCTCAAAACCCTTTGGAGGATGCTCACAAAGTCCCAAATCCATCAGGTGACCTCAGATGGCTCCCCAGCCGCAGCTCCCCCCACACCCTGCTCTGCTCCTGCCGTGATGAGCCACGCCTCTGCTTGGCCCCCGGGGCCCTCCTGTCCCCCTGCAGCTCTCTCCACCCCTCCTCCGCTCACCCTTCCCTTGCCTGCTCCTGGAACTCTTCCCTCACCCACTCTTGGCCGGAGTGCCAAGTGCTCCTCTCGCCAACCCTCCCGCCCGGCAGTCCTTGCTGACGGCTGTCACAGCCCTTGTCACACTGTGTTCACATTGCTGTGTGCCTGGGTATCTCTCGTCACACTGCCTTTAGTGGCAGCGATCCAGCACCTGGAATGAGGCTGGTGGCTACTAGGAAGGAAGGAAGGAAGGAAGGAGGGAAGGAAGGAAGGAAGGAAGGAAGGAAGGAGGGAGGGAAGGAAGGAGGGAGGGAAGGAAGGAGGGAAGGAGGGGGGAGGGAAGGAAGGAAGGAGGGAGGGAGGGAGGGAAGGGGGGAGGGAGGGAAGGAAGGAAGGAGGGAAGGAAGGAAGGAGGGAAGGAAGGAAGGAAGGAAGGAAGGAAGGAAGGAAGGAAGGAGGGAAGGAAGGAAGGAAGGAAGGGGGAAAGAAGGAGGGAAGGAGGGAAGGAGGGAAGGAGGGAAGGAGGGAAGGAGGGAGGAAGGACAACCAGGAAGAGAGTCAGTCCAGGAAGACCGATTCTTGTTGAAGGGAGCTGGGAGGGCCCAGGATACAGGGTGTGACTGGAAAGGGAAGGGGACAGTAGGCGTCTCCTGAGGACGGCTGAGGGCTGGAGGTAAAGGGGCCGTATTCCAGAGGCAGGTCGCGAATGCATAAACACGAGACCTAGCCCCTTCACACCCAGGACCACGCGCTGCCCGTGGGAACCGAGGAGGGCACGGTGCTGACCGTGCAGTGAAGAAGGACCCCTGGGCTCTGCTCCCAGCTCTGCCCCGGGCAGCTCATTCCTCCTCCAGAAGTAATGGATGGACTCAAGGTCATCAGACGTCTCCTTCCGACTCTGCCTGGGTCACTGACTCAGCTGGTCGGGTCCCGGGGGCTGACCCTCAGCCATGACCAGGACTCCCCAGAGCAGAGCTGTTTAGGGGTCAAAGGCCCGGAATGCACGAAAACAACACACTTACCCGAGAGGATGAAGAAGATGCCGGAGACGAAGGCCAGTATTGTTCTGTGGGGACGGATGTGTCCGATGTTGCTCAGGATGAACCCAATGAACATGAAAAAGAGACTGACCAGAGGGAACGGTGTGGCCGAGCGAATCATTTCTAATCGAGGGACAAAAGGACGCTGTCAGCCTCCGGTGGCCTTACTCGTCGCTTACCCTCCTGGGTCAGCTGTCTGCCAGCAGGTCCCCAGAGCTGCACCCTGCATGAGCTCCCCAGGCTCCACCCCCTTGGGTGACCCGCCACCTCTCAGTGCTGCCGAGGCTTTGTCCCTCAGCCCATAGCCTGTGCAGTCTCTGCTAACTCAGGGGTCAGTGCCAGAATGGCTCCCGGTTCACCCTAGGGGTCCAAACCCGCTCTGTGAGGCCAAGGCCATGAGGTCAGCCTCAGTGGGGGCCAGAGGGCTCGGTTCAGTTCCCCAAGCACCAGGGTCTAAATGTCTGTCCTGAATGCCCAATGTGATGGGATCAGGAGGTGGGCCTTTGGGAGGTGCTTGGGTCATGAGGGTGGAGCCCTCACGCATGGGATTGGTGCCCCTAGAGAATGAGACCCCACGGAGCTCCCTCAGCCCTCCCTCCATGTGGGCACCCGCTGTGGGTCAGAAGAGGGCCCTCCCCAGAGTGTGACCATGCTGGAGCCTTGATCCCGGACTCCTAGTCTCCAGAACTACAGAGATACACTCCTGAGGTCTATAAGCTACTGGCCTGTGGCATTTTGTCAGAGCAGCCCAAACAGACGAAGATGCTGGGCATGGATGCCCTCTCGCTCGCCTGGGTCACAAGACTGGGATATTGCAGCCACCTGGCTCCACCACTGGATGAATAATCGACAGAGCAGTTCTGGTGAGCTCAGGTTCCCACAGCCAGCCGAGTCTGGACATCGGCTCCCGAGAAACAAGCTGGCCACGCCCACTCTGCCCTGCCTCGCTCTGCTCTGCCCGGCCAGTGGCCCAGGCTGGGAAGTCGGAGGCACCTACTCAGAACGTTGACCGTGGACTCGGACGTCAGCTGCGAGTTCATGGGCATCACGTACTCGATGGTGAAGCAGCGTCCGCGCTCCTCTCCTGTGAAGACAAGGGCGTTACCTCGCTGGTCCTGCTGGGAGCTGGACTGGGACCCATGGAGTCTTTACACCTGGTCTAGCTCCGAAGCCTAGGGGGTCCCATGCCTGGCTGGTGGCTCACAGCAGCGGCGATGCTGCTCCTGACACCGTCCTTCCTGGAGAAGCATGGCCGGGAAGACGGACCCCACGCCGGGAGTCGGGGGAGAAGCAGTCAGACCCCGAGCTGAGGGGAACGTCTGCTGGCTGTCTCGTTGCTTAGGTTCCCGGTGTGGGTGTCATGGGGCAGAACCCCCACAGCCTTGTCAACCACCTAGGAAGCCAGGTCCCGGTGACTTCAAAATGCTTCCAATTTGCCCTGGCCGGTTTTGTTCAGTGGTTAGAGCATCGGCCTGCGGTCCAGAGAGAACCGGGTTCAATTCGCTCTAAGGGCACGTACCTCGGTTGCAGTTTGTCCCCGGCCCTGGTTGGGTCGTGCGGGTGGCAGCCACTCGATGTGTCCCTTCACGTCGATGTTTCTCTCTCTCTCTCTCCCTCCCACTCTATCTGAACAAAAAATGGAAAAATGTCCTCGAATGAGGGAAAAAAAATGCTTCTGATTTAAGCAGAGATGATGCCACGTGGTTGAGGATGAGGTCAGTATTGGACACCATTCCCAAAGCAGACACATGTCCCTAGCAGGCCAGGCCAGGAGGAGCTTTTCCTGCTAAATACTGGTGGGCACCGGGTGGTACAGGGAATATCGGGGGGGGGGGGGTCACTTTGTGAAGTATGTGATTGTCTAACCACTGTGCTGTACACCTGGCAATCATACAAAGTAATATTGAATGTAAACTGTAACTGAAAAATAAAATTAAAAAAGTAAAAGAAAATAAAAAAAAGAAGAGGTAAGAGGAGCTTTAGGGACCCAAGACTGAAGTTCTTCGGCATGTCCGAAACCACTGGGGTGACGCGAGGTGGGGCAGGGAGGCCCCCTCGAAGACCAGCACCAGGAAGAGGCTGGAAGCAAGGCCGAGCCCGGAGGTGGCTGGGGAGGCCGGGGAACAGGTGGCCCAGACAGGAGAAAGGAGGAGCCTGTCCTGGCAGCCAGCTGGAGGGTCGCTCCTAGGAAGCAGCCACTCGGTGAGGCAGACATGGGGCGTGGCCCCTGCGTTGGGACAGCTGTCCACAAGGAAACGGTGTGTAAATATCAGAAGTTAACCAGAGGTGTTCACTGGTACAGTTCTGTGCCCCGCGAGTTCCACCGCATTCCGACTGGTCCCTTGAAGTGACTCTACAACAAAGCTCAATACATGTTTTTCAGAACGAATTGTATTCTCACTAGGGCCATAAACAATCAAATAAATGAGTACCAGTGGGTGCCAACCACCACACCCATCTCCCAAAGGCCTACCATGATATAGATCTTTTTTCTTTTCTTTTTTTTTTTTTTTTTAGAGAGAGAGAGGAAGGGAGAGGAAGAGAGAGATAGAAACATTAATGAGAGAGAACACCAACTGGCCGTCTCCTGCATGCCCCCCACTGGGGATTGACCCACAACCTGGGCATGTGCCCTGACCAGGAATCGAGCCGGCGACCTCTTAGTGCGTGGGTTGATGCTCAATCACTGAGCCACACCCGGGCAGCCTACCATCCCCCCTGTATTTCCAGTGCCCACCTGGTGCCCACCAGTATTTAGCAGGGAGGACACCTCTTGGCCTGGCCTGCTGGGACATGTGTCTGCTTTGGGAAGGACCACGTGGTCCTTCTGCCCAGTGCTCACGTAGGTTACAGGGCCCTCCAAGAAATGCCCAGTGACCATACTGCAGTGACCCCGGCCAGCCCAGGGCTGTGGCCAGTCTCAGGACACGGAGCTGCTCGGCGTGTGCAGGCTGGTTCGGCCATGATAAAGGGACAGAGCACAGCAGCAACCCCAAGGGTTCCGAGAAGCCCTGGCTGCTGGAAGAGCGAGAGCTGGCGGGGGCTGGACAGGCAGCACCACCCGCCCCGCGCAGGGTTGGAGACGCCGGTGTCGCTCTCCGCTGCCCCACGGACTGTTGGGGGTCGCCCGCCCTGCACACTAGCGGATGCGGGTGACGCCGAGACCTTCCCCTCCTGGAATCTTTATGCTCTCATCTGTCGGGTGGAAGGACAGCCCGTCCTGCCTGCAGTGCAGTGGGGAGGATGGACACCAAGGAAGCCGGGGCGAGGGCCCTGGCGGCAGAGGGTGGGGTACCTCCCCTCTCAGGGGGAAGACCCAGGTCCCGGGAGACAGAGGACTTGCTCAGATGAACACCTCGCCTCAGGGCTGGAGTTTGGGAAGGGTCCAGGTCGCTGCAGGGGACACTGCCCAGACTCCAGGAGGACTGTCGGGGTCTCTGCAGCCTCTCTTCCCAAGGGTGGGGAAGGGGCGCCTGGGCAGGTTTCCCCAGGGAGGGGCTGCTCCTCTCTCCGGGGCAGGGCTGTCTCCTCCTCCGGGAGCCCCTACCTGCGAGGAAGCAGACACGCCACAGGCCCGAGTGCAGGGACATCTTGATCTCCGTGCTCTGGTTCTGGGGCAGGACCACGCCCTCCTCCAGGTACAGCCAGTAGTCGGTGCTGACAGCGATGCCCAGGAGGCCCAGGCCGCAGACGGCGAACACGCTGCTCAGCAGGGTCAGGGCCTTCCTCCCGCAGCCGCTCATCTTTCCGACGGCCCAGGGTGGTCTGCCGGCGGTCCCACAGCAGGGGGCAGGCTCTGGGGACAGGAGAGAGAGTGAGCGGGCACAGCAGCCACACTCCAAGGAGGCCAAGGTGCGGGGTCTTGGGGAGGTAACTAGAGTGAGCCCCACCCGGCTAAACGAATTAGTAAGACCAACAGGCCAGATCTCTGGACACCAGGCCACCAGGACCGAGGTGCCACCCCCTTCCTCTCCCTGCCAGGAATTCACAGCTTTCTGCCAGGCTACTGAAACGGGCCACCTTGTCCCCTGTGGAGTCCCCTTGCTAGATAATGCTACTTATCCATCCATCCATCCATCCATCCATCCATCCATCTATCCAGTAATCCATGCTGCCCAAATTGGGAGACAAAATGAGGAACACTGAACCTGACACTAACCTTGACCTTGAAGGCTTCCCACCTAGAAAAACAAAGGCACCCACAAGGCAGAGACAATGCAGCTGGATGGGGCTGTGGCAGATCTGCCCAAAAGCTCAGGAGAAGGGGGGAGGGTGGAGGAAGCTCTGCTGGGTGGGCTTCTCGGCCTTGAGGGGGACTGTGAGGGTCAAGGGCACCCTGGCAGAGCTGCTGCATCTGGGAGGGGAAGCGGCAGCAGCCTTGGGAAGAGGCAGAGGGCAATGAAGGCTTTGGGGAAGGTTTCCTCATGGGCTACAACCAGCTGTAGTTCTAGGTCAACAGCAGTAAAGGGTCAAGTTCAAGTTCAATGGGCCTCCAGAGCCCACCTAATTAGAACTGTCCGACTCTTGCCGCTTAGCACACAGCCCGAGAGAAGCTGAGAGTCTGTCCGAGGTGAGCCACAAGCACACCTGTTGCACCTGCCGGGCCCAAGCAGTGGGCTCAGAGCTGGAAACACCTGAGGAATAAGGCAGATGGATGCTGACCCCCACAGAGCCCACGGCCCGGCCCAGGGCTGAGCACTGGCTGCATCTAGAATCGACCAGGGAGTGCCTACTAATCCCGATGCCTGGGCGCTGCTCCAAGATTCTGGTGCAGCTGGGCTCACATGAGGGCGCCGGTATTTTTCAAGGGCTCCCAGTGATTCTAATGTGCAGCCCAAGTTGAGAACACTTGGCCTTTGCTCCTCAAAGTGTGAACCATGGACCAGCAGCATCACCTGGGATCTTGTTAGAAATATGGACTCTCAGGCTCCCCCAACTGTGTAAATCAGAATCCGTGTCGTAGCAAATCCAGGTGAGTTGTATACCTGCTCAAGTCTGAGAGGACCTGTGCCAAGCAAACAGGTGACAGGGAATCCCAGGATGAGATGAGAGCCCAGAAGAGGGTCACCCAGGGGGGCTGGAGGAGACAGGCAGAGCCATCTCTAGAAGGGGGGGGGTGCTGGGCACTCAGCACTAAGCTGGTCACGCCTGCAACGTTGCCAAAGCATCAGCCCTTTGCAGTAATGCAAAGCCAGACATTTTGAAACAGGATGTTAACATTCAGGAAAGTGTCAGGTGTCACAGCACTTGTGGGGGGGAGGTGAAGGCTCTCAGTGCTGACCCAGGGCCCTACGCAGGGCAGGGCATCATATCGCCACTGAGGCACAGGGGGTCATGGCCCGGCCAGTGGGAAAGGGACAGAAGCCACACTCAAGTCTGGAGGCTCGATTCCTCTGCAGAGTCTGAGCTCACTGGAGGAGGGGAGAAAGGAGAGTGGGGGGAGGGGAATGGGTGCTCTTTGCAAGAAAGGGGGACATCCTGGCTGATTCACAGCACGGGCCCTTCCTATCAGCTGACGTGGGGAGCCGAGCGGCCTACGCAGCGAGCCCACACTGGCTCCCCGGAGGCGTGCGCCAGGCCTGGAAGCAGAGCCCCTGTCCTCGAGGCTGGAGTTCAAGCCAAGCCACTCCTTCCTAACCAGCCTTGACAAAGGGAGAAATGAAATGCGAAACAGCCGGCCCTTCCCCAAGCCGCATTGTCCACGCCGCCCGCCCGGCTGTGTCAAGTCGACAAAGGAGCCTTTCTGAGGCTCACTCTCCTCCCGGGTGACAGAGGAAGAGAATAATAGCATAAAGTCTGTCGAATGTTCATCATCATCATCCGCTGTCCTGCTAAGCCCTTGACTCTCCATTTCAATTCTTACAACTCTGACACCCCCCCTTACAGGTGAGCAAACCGAGGACCAGAGAAGTTAAGGAACTTGCCCAGGACCCCTGAGCGAGCAAGCGGTGGTGCCTGCTCATTCTCCAGACCCAGCTCGTGCCCCCCCTGAGTGCTTTCCAAAGTGGGTTCCCCAGAGCAAAACTTCCGTGGACTATTCTGGCAAAAATGACTGGCGAAGAAAAGCGAGGAAGGCGCCGGCTCCGGACCGTGAAGCATCCCCTTGCACACCCATCCGCGAAAGCTTCCGAAAATGGGTTCAGCGTCACTCCGTCCAGTGTCTTCCAAACTTGCCCGTCCACACGACGGCTTCTTGTTCTGTGAAACCCCCTGGGGGACCGAGGCTGCCCCCGTGGAGAATGACGAGGCCCGCCCGGCCCGCCCCGCAGCACTGCTGGGAGGTTATGGCCACAGCAGCCACGCCGGGGCTTTGACCTAAGCACAGGGCTCGTGTACGGAATCGGCACGAAGCACCGAGGGGTGCACGGGCTCTGTTCCTGTAAGAGAGCATCGGGGCTTCTGAATATGACAGCTAGCGCCTGGCCGGAGCTGAGCAGCCCATTTTAATGATAAGCTTGGCAGCGAGACAGAAAGAGGTTTGGGTCTTGGAGGCTCGGGAAGATAAAGCGGAGAGGAGATTGGATCTGCATCTATAAATGCAAGAAATAAAAGAAGAGCCGGGCCGGTGTGGCTCAGCTGGTTGGGCGCCGTCCCATGCACTAAAAGTTGCCAGTTTGATTCCCGGTCAGGGTACATGCCCAAGTTGTGGGCTCGATCTTTGGTAAGGGGGTGTGTAGGAGGTAGCCAATCGATGTTTCCTTCTCACATTGATGTTTTTCTCTCTCTCCCCCTCTCCCTTCCTCTCTAAAAATCAATAAAAACATAAAAAATAATTTAAGATGAGGCTAAAGTTGACCTGCCCTGCCAAACTCTATATAGCAGAGCTTGAAGCCTGGAGTGAGCTTGGGGAAAGAGAACATGTCCTTCTAGTGTATGCAGCAAATTTATGGAACTCTGCACAGAGCCAGACAAATCATCTTATTCACTACACAAGTGTAGTTATGCTTCTTCTATGAAATCATATTTATTTACAAGTTAGTAATATCACCAGGACCTCACAACAACCCCATAAATAGGTATTATTGGCCCCATTCTGTGGATTGGGAAACTGAGGATCAGAGATGTTAAGTAGCCTACAGGATGTCACAGGTGAGTGACAGACGGTGCATTGAAACCTTGGTCTAGTCTCAAGGTCTATGCTCTGGCTACACCATCTCCCTCCTGAAGACATAAACAGTTCTGGGAGTGCTGGGGTGAAGGGACACATCCCAAGTGGGTCACTGGGGAATCTAGAAATGTATGTGACACAATATTTGGAAGACTGTCTTTGTAAATGGCCAAGTGTCACCTAAGGGCTGATTCTCGACCCTATTGGGCTTCCTCCGGACAGGCCCCATTCGGAAAACACCATTGTTCGCATCTTAGTTCACTGCCTGCCTGTCTTTCTCCTGACGTAACTGCCGATGTGTGCATCCCATGTCCTCTGGGTGGGAGCAGGGATGGGGGTCCCCTTGAAGATACTGGTCTGGGACGATCCTATTCCCACATAATCAGACTTTTGTCTTTGCTTTTACACGATTGCTTCTTCTTCCTATGAATCCTATCCTCCATCTACAAGGTTCATTTGATTTTCCTGATGGGGAAGGCAGACACTTTTTATAAGTTGCTGTCACCAGAGTAGATATTTAGGCTATAAAATATTAAATGAATAAAGCTGGATGCAAAACTACATGTCTAACAAGAATTTAGCTGTGAAAAAACTTCATAAGCTGGGAAGAAATAAACCAAAACGTGGGTGGTGGATGCTTCCAGGTGATGAGCTTAAATACATTTGATTTTCTTTGTGCTCAACAAAGCTTCTACAAAACCTTTTAGCCCTGGCTGGCGTGGCTCAGTGGTTACAGTGTTGGCCTGAGCACTAGAGGGTCTTGGGTTTGATTCTCGGTCAAAGGCATGTACTTGGGTTGCAGGTTCAATCCTCAGCCCTCATCAGGACACGTGCAGAGGAACCAATCGATGTGTCTCTCACATCGATGTTTCTCTCTCTCTCTCTCCCTTTCCCCCTTCCCATTTCTACTCTCTCTAAGAATCAATGGAAAAAATATCTTCCATTGAAGATTAACAAAAAACAAAACAACACTGTTGTTTCTATATCCAGAGAAGAGAACTAAAGGAAACACTAGACTAGTCAGCTCCCCAGTTGCTGAGCTCGTCTGCAGCGTCCCAGCTACCTCCTGGGCCAAAGAGGCTGAGATGCAGAGTTATCCTTTGGGGCTTGGGGCCCAGAAGCAGAAGCAAAGCAGCTTTGAGCCTTTTAAGATGATTACCCTGGTGCCATTACCTCTAAGCATTAGCTTGTTAATTATCAGGAATTAACAGTTGCTGATTATCATCCATGACTAGCAATTATGGAAAATATCTGGTGGAGAATTAAATCACTAATGGCACCTCTCAGTTTTCCTACCAGCCCAGAGAAGCCGTAGTGATGCTGGAGGGCATCAGGGAGCAGGGGTCCTTGACAGTCACCGCAGCTGCTCCTGTGAGCTGGTCCAGGGACTCAGCATCTGCTTGGCCAGCTCCCAGCAGGAGGAGCTGGTGGCTGTCCACCCCCAGTGGTCCTATGGCCCTCCCTGCTGTCCACTGTGCTGACTCCTTGACACTCCTTCCATTGAGAGGTGGGGTCCACACATGTCTCCTCCCTTTGAGTCCAGGCAGGCTTGGGACTGCTTTGACCAATAGCATACACTGAAATGCTGCCATGTAACTTCTAAGGCTGGGTCATAAAGGAGATGCAGTTTCTGCCTGGTTCTCTTGGGAGCTCCCTCAGGGGGAAGCCAGTGCCCATGTAAGAAGTCC